GTAACAATAATTACATTTTTGTATGTTTGCTGTTAAGCACAAAGCTATACAATGGGTTATCTGTACTCTGCTCACCATGGGTATCTAAAACCTACATTTCTTAGCATTGTAAGCCCTCAGACGTACTGCTAATCTACCAAGCAAAGGGGAACAATAATTATGGATCTATTACACCCAGTTTATACAATACAATGATCCTGCTTATTTCACAAATGAGACTTCTAGAAAATAAAAAAATATATAAGCATATCCTTATATAAACGTTTGCAAGGAATAAAAACAATGTAGTACTTCAATATCAAGGTCTGAAGCATATCATTAAACATTATTTTATGGCTCATAATATATATATATATATATAAATATTACTCAGATAATAAACAGGATATAGCCAAACATTTTTATCAAAATAGCTTTCAGATCCAGTACTAGAACTTTGATCATGGTCTCCTGATGACAAATTTATATGTTGAAAACAGTATCATATGGTAGAAGTATACAAAGATAGGAGAATGAGACCAAACTTACAATAAACATGTATGACTATGATAGTTTTACTTTATGCTAAAATTGAATTATAAAACAAAAATCAATCACACTAAACCAACCTGGATGAGATTCTTCAATAAAATAAAATTTTGTTCTACCAAAAATGTAACATCCAATGTACATATGTAGAGAAGTAGCATTATGAAAACTTTATTTAGTAATAGTTCACTAAAACCCAAAATATTAATTCATTAGTTTAAGTCCAATGTTAAAAATCACATTAAATCAAATAGTTCTAATATATTTTACTCCCCAATCTCTGTTCATACCTTAGATGTTGATCCAGTTTTAGTATGATGATGACCTCTTCAAACTGATAAGCTGGACTCTTCTTTTTTTGTTGCGAGACTCTAGATATTTTTTCACTGAGTGTTTCTGTGGCACAGCTGGTTGTTAGTAAGAGCAAATCTTTTACGTGAATTAAAGAGGCCAACATTTGCAGTCAAATGCAATATGTTTCCACCATGCAATCCCAACATGGGTAATGTTAATGTTGACATCAGAAAAATTGTGAAAAACACAGAAAAATCGAAAACTGTCTAAATCACTGCCTGGGATCTGCAAGTAGGTGTCTTTGTACCAAATCCCATGTAAATTGGCCAACATATGGTGGAATAATTGTAACAAAAACATGAAAGTATGCATTTTGTGGAATCTTGCCCCCCCCCCCCCTATAATAACCAAAAATGGGTAAGTCCACCATTTTTGTTTGGCAATGTGTGGGACCTGAAGAAAAGTATCTTCGTACCAAATCACATATAAATTGTTCAAAATATGGCCAAGTAATTGACCCCAAAATTGTGTTTTTTTGTGAGCTCTGACCTCCATAAAAAAAAAAGAGAGACTTAAAATGGGCAAATTCAACTTTTTTTGTGTGTCAAAGTATTGGGTGCATGAAAATTTATACTCGTGCTGATTTTAATCTTGATTGCAGTAAATATGACTACACAGGGCCCAAACATATATATTTTTGGGATGTTTGGCCTTTGACCCCATAAAATCCTTGAAAAAATCTAAATAAAAATAACTAAAAAGGTGTCTGGGTGTATTGGACCAAGATATAACCTTACCAAGTTTCAAGTCAATCCATTGAGAAATGCAGGAATGGTAGTCAATTGAAAAGAGTTTAGACAAAAAAGAAATAAGAAACAGTAGAAAAACAATATGTCTCTCTGTAGAGACATAATAATTAAAGTTGTCTTATTGATTTTCATACACTTTGATAGACAGAGACCTTTCTGATTTGCCAATGTATTTCTTACCACATTCCTGTTTTCATTGATACACTGATCCTTTTGTTTTTCTTTTGGTGTGGGATCTTTCACTTCGGTTCATATGTTTTGATGTCACACTAATGTTGTGTTTTCAAAAAATTCTTCACACACACTTTATAAAAGATTGGACACATAACGATTACAGATATACATAGGTGTCTTTTTTCATTGTTTTCTTCATATCTTCAAATGTCTCTAATGTCATGCAGTTTTAATACTTTTATCTGTCAAAGCTGGTGGACAGTATTAGAGACAAAGGTTGATTTTAATTTGACCTCTTCCTTTACGAACCACTGAGTACATATTTTCTCACCCATTCTGTTAATGAGTGTACCACTTCCAGTTTTATCAATATCAGGAAATTTGATAAGTCCAGGTAATTATTGGTTTTTTGGCACATTACTGTAATTACTCCACTAGTTTACCTTCTGTACATGCATAGTGTTGTATTATTGTACTTTTAAACAATCTACTGCAAATAATTCAAAGTCCAGTTCAATTAAATAATAACAGATTAATTCATTTCTTCCTTATCACTTTTGCAAGTTTAAACACCAATTTAACTCTTAGGCCATGGTCACAAATGACTAACTGCAAAACACGAATGTACAATCAACTTACTTGTACAATGTAACTCTTTATGCACAATAGCTAACACAGATACAAATAATATTAAAACACACCAACAGATTTACTCTATCAACTAGAAACAACTCTACTGTTTTCTTAAGTATCTTTTCGTTGATTCACTCTAGCCCAAATATATATATATGCCCTCCAATTTACTAGAAAACTTGACATTAAATCTCTAGAGTTTTCTAAGTATATTATTGAACCTTTTGATCTTAACATCATCTTACTATAATGGACGTAGCATGTAGGTCAGTATCTATGTATGTAACTAAAACTTCTGTGCCATCTTTTGAATGGCACCACAAACAAAAAGTTATAAAAATTTCACAGTTTGGGTATTCAAGATTCAGACAATTAGAAAAATAACTGTGGTATGTGCAACAACCATTTCTTTATAATAAAACACAATTTTAAATAAAAGTACTCTCCTCACAACAAGAAGACTTTCACTAGGATTGTTTGTTTGTT